ACTAACTCTGAGTATTGTGGTAATGGTCACTCCAAGCTTTTGATATGTGATAAAAGCAATGTGCATGGGAGAATATTATATTCATGGGGAGTAAGACTCGTAGAGGATTCAGGGGGAGCGATTTGCAGAGATCAATGAACTTGAAAGATGATATCTAGTGCGAAGTGTTATTTTGAGTGTTCCAACAAGAGTTACACATGATCTGCAACGTCAACTACTCAAGAAGGGTCAACGGTGTGAAATTTTTTTATTCTTTATTTTGTAAACTTTATGCTATAGATTTTGGCTTTTTTTGTCAAAAAGGGGGAGAAAGGTGTTGTGTTTTTGTATTTTTTTTCAAGTTTTTGAATTTTTATTGTTAATAAGAACAATATGTTAGTTTTATCAAAAAAATGTCAAAGGGGGAGATTGTTAGGACTATTAGTTGGCAAATTTGTTGGCAAAAGGTTATAAATTCAAAAACAAAATATGCAAGATATTGGACTACTATGGAGAGTCTATTCTTGACTACTTGCACCGGATTTGAGATGATAATTTGATTTCCTCATTAAAAGGAAATAAGTTTATGAAGCTGATTTGATTGACTTTTGGTGGCTAATTGATGGGCTTTATAGGAAGAATCCTTGGGGGGAAAGTTGCTTTATTTAGGGTGATTTTAGTGGAAGAATAGATGGGACTATAGACCAATTTGAGTTGTATATATTTGGTTTGCAGCCATGAACGTGATAGGGCTTTTGAGTGTGAAAATATTCTGCAGAAAGAGCTACTTTGATGTTCTTTAAGAGAAAATAGAAAAAGGTGGTTCTTCGGGAGGATGTTGTATTGCTTTCGGGAGAAAGTCTTCAAAGATGAGTGGTGCTCGATGGACAAGGCCTCTAATAAGATTCTACACAGCGGCGACAACATTAAGGATGTAGTCTTTGGGTGTATAACGCCGATTAGTGTTTGTAATCTTTTGATCTTAGTGGATTGTTCACTGTCTGGGCGTGGACCCGTAGATGTAGGTGTACGCACCGAACTGCGATATCAATTCTTTGTGTCTTTTATGTTTCTGTTAATCTTTCTGCACTTATAATTTGTTGTTGCTGAGTAAAAAAAATATTAATCTACACGTATCTGTCATCAATGTTACAATAAATATTATAACACTCATTGTAATACCGACCGAAAAACAGAATGCTTTCTTCGTTTTGGTCGCAATAACTTTTTACCAGCCACATAACTAAATCAAATATATTCAACAATATAATAACGTCAAATCACCCATAAATTGGTGTGTGTATATATATATATATATAAACACACACATATATACATAAGACATATATATTGTTCAATGCGAGAATAATCTCTTCAAATATGGAGAAGCTGGGGGAAAGAATCCATGCCAAAAACAATCAGAAAGGATTCTCTATTATTCTCACTTATATTATGTCTTTTTTTTTCATTTTTTATTTTCTTTCCCTTATATCTACCGACTACCATAGCTTTGAGAATTAATATTAAAATTGAGTTCTTTGAAGGATTTGAATTATCTAGCCCAATACATTCTCATCTCTTTTCTCTCATTCCAAACCACCGTAGATCCGAAATTGCTTATACTAATCTCCTCACCTTTCTTCCTCCTTCCACGTGTACTTTTCCCTGCTACAAATCCTCCTACTAATTATCAATGAGCTCTCAGTGTTTCTGATTGAAAAAGTGTCATTGAACGTATTATTCTCCATTGAACGCATGTTTCTGATGCGAAAATGTTAAAACATCGTACGATTAATCCAAGATGAAAATTAATCACATCACGAGGATAAGTTTGAATATAATGAGGAGAGAGAGAGAGAGAGAGAGAGAGAGAGAGAGAGAGAACAGAGACAGAGAGGAGAGAGAGAGAGAGAGAGGAGAGAGGAGAGAGAGAATGCTTTTAAATATGAGATCATGCGGGTAAGAAGGGGAAAACTACACTGACAAATTAATAGTCATAAACACTAGATAGTATACAACTTGCCAGTTCCTTCTCGTGTCATCTCTCCTAAAGCGCCAATGAATCTGACAACAGAATTTTGACACGTGTCGATTTTAGGAAATTATGAATCTATGATCGAGGTGGTACCACTTGATCAGTGTCTCTTACCTCAACTTGACGTCATGATCGCGAAGGTTCCACGTCGACATTATTGCCGTAAAACACAGATGACGTGGGGTCCATTGTGAATGGAACTCAAGCGGAGTGGGCCACCACTCCCATCTGGCGGAGGTCGGAGATCAAGATCATCATGATGAAAACTGTGTTCAGCCGCAATGGGACGTCGTATTACTAGGGTCCCACATGTAACTAACCACGTACCTAATTAACCAGAATTTGCTTTCTAGATTAATTGCACAAAAGTGAATTTTTTTTATGCCTTCTTTGTGAGCCGATTTATCGGTAATATTAATTTTTAATTATTAAATTTGATTAAAATAATATTAAATTAATAAATATACATAATTAATAAATTTTAATATAAATTTAACTGTTAAAAAGTGAAATATTATTAATATTTTATTTTTTTAATTTTATAAGAGAAATTCTTTATTTTTTTTCTTAACTCTGATTCTCTCCCTATATACTTTTTTTGGGGAAAAAGGAATTTTTTATTTTCAAATTGTACAATATTATCTTCCTTCTTTTTTGCCAGTACTAATTTTGATACGTGTGATGCACGTATTTAATTATAATTAAAATTTGTATAATATAAAATACAAACAATAAATAGGGAAAATATAAACGGAAGTTTTTACTTAGAGATTAAAAAGAGTATACATTAAGTGGTAGTACACCCGTCATAATGAAAATTGCACACTAAACTTCACCACAAAACGTAGAATTTGAATTCCTCACACGTTATCTTTTCTTTTTTTTTTTTTAAAAGTATACATTAATAGTAGTTTAAGTAAAAAGGTTGTGTTAATTATAGAAATGCATGAAGCATTATAAATTATAAGATAAAAAGTTATATAAATAAATAAATAAAGGAGTTGAAACTTAAAAATGAAAAAAAAAGTAAAACACCTAAAAACTTACCGTTTTGAACCACCATAAATTATGACATAACAAGATAAAAAAATAAAAGAGTCAAAAATTAAAAATAAAAGAGAAAAAATAAAGAACTTAAAACTCATTGTTTCGGACTATCATAGGATGAACAACAACTAAATATCTACTTTTTTATATCATGAAGAATATGATTTAACATGTATGGAAAACAAAAGAAAGAAATAAAAAATGTTAAAAAAGATAAAGCACAAAAAAAGTTATGGAAACAAAAGAAAAAAATAAAAGAGTTAGAAGAAAAGATAAAAGATGCAATGAAAAGAGAGAAAGGAACACATCATTTTTATTTTATTTCAACGTGTTTGAAAAGGAAACAAATAAAACAAAAAGAGAAACAAAAAAACGTTAAAAGAAGCAAAGAACTAAAATCATTTCTGAAAAAAAAAGGAGAGCCAAAATGACTCGTTTTAGACTAAAAATAAAATAATAGAGTCATGATGGCTCTTTTATATGTGTAGGATAATAGCGGTTGAGAAGGTCGTGAAAAAAAAAAATTTTAATAGGGGCATATTTTAGAAATTTATTTTAATGAGACAATTGGAAAGAAATTTATGAGAATAACTTTTAATATAACAATATTTTAGAGTACTATCGCAGAGAAATATTTAAATAAGATAACATTTGAAAAAAAGAATAAGAGTAAATGAAAGAAAAAAAGTTAATCCATAAAAAAAAAGTTAAAAAGAATGGTAAGTAAGAAAAATATAAAATTTTGAGAAGAAAAGAAAAAAAAAAAGGAGAACGCCCAAAAAAAAAAAAAAAACGACGAGAGTGCACAGTGAAGCCAAGCTCAACTCTTTTAATATATAGTGATTTTATAGTGAAGCACCTGCGTTTTGACCGACTTTTTCGCTATGTGATCAACTCTAACCCACATTATGTTTTGTCATTATAGAAGACACATTAAAAACAATAGATTCTAACCCTTGATGTTGGAATATGTGTGTGTAAATATTGTTTATCTTTGTCACCATATATAAAGTCAAGCCCTTTTATCATCAAGGCATAAATTGATTTATCTTTGTCACTGATCTTCCCTTTATACTATGTACCTTGTCCGTTTGGTTTTGTAGTGGAAAGGTGTAATTAAGTACTTAGCTCTTCCTTAATTTTCATTCTCCAATATCAATTCTCAGCCTTTCAAAGATAAATGCTTGTCAACCTCACAAAACAAGCATAGGCAACATTTCAAAATAAATAATAAAATATATTAATATACATTTGTCCTCCTAGCTAGCTTATTCTCTAAATTCTGTCTCTATTTAGTACGTGAACTTCGTCATTGTATGTAATCATGTTTATCCCCTTCGACAAAAATCTAATTAATTTAGTTATTACGAGATGGAGAAGTGAATAAGTAATGCCAATCTTAAGGTAGAACTTTAACGGAATAAGAGAAAAATACTTAGAGGTACCATTCATTGTTACAAATCACATTTAATAGAGAATGGATCTCACACTATACTGTGGGACGTACTCTTTATTAGTGTATGATATTGGTCACCATTAATGCTTTCTGATATTATTCAAGTACTAAAACTAATACCTCGAAGGTTAATAAAGTTCAAGTACTATAAAGAATACAAGCAAGGTTTTGGTATCAAACTTTTAACAATAGGGTCAAGGTCCAAGGACCACATATGCATTTTTTTAACCCGAATTAAAAACAAAGAGGGGGGCCTTCATTGTTGTTCTATTTTAGCTGGACCAAAAAAAAAAAAAAAAAAAAAAAAACCCTGCAAAATTTAAGGCAAATTCACTAAAATCACCAACCTGTCACTATCCCTAGCATTGCCGGTGATTCGATTACTATTCCTGCTATTGCTGTTGAAACAGCCCCTCTTCGTTCACTCTATATATACCCTGACCAACCTACTATATTCCTCTCACATTGACTTGATTTAGCGTCCCTCGCCAATACTCTCCTACTTCCCCTCCAAACAATTTAGAGTGAGAAAGTGTGTAAGAGAGAGACATTTTATACATTTATATGGAGATTGTTGGTTCAATTTTTACATTCCTCTTTCTCTCCACAACTTTTATGGTCTCATATTACTTGATCATAAGCTATCAAAAAACAAAAACCAAACACAAGGCTAAACTTCCACCAGGATCAATGGGTTGGCCTTTCATAGGAGAGACCCTCCAACTCTACTCCCAAGACCCAAACATACTATTTGCCACCAAACAGAAAAGGTCTTTCTTTTACCACCAATTGCATGTTGAAAATCAAAAATTATATATACAAATGAGTTTTTCAATCGTTTCCATATTCATTATTAATTTAATTTGTTCTCTATAGATACGGAGACATATTCAAAACGCATATATTGGGATGTCGTTGCATCATGCTGGCCAGCCCTGAGGCGTCCCGGTTCGTGCTGGTGACTCACCCGCACCTCTTCAAGCCCACGTACCCGAAGAGCAAGGAGAAGCTGATTGGTCCGTCCGCGCTCTTCTTTCACCAAGGGGTTTACCACTCTCAACTGAGAAAACTGGTCCGGAATTCCCTCTCCCCAAACACCCTCCAGAAAAGAGTCGCTGATATTGAGGCCATAGCCATCTCTGCTCTTGAGTCTTGGGCTAGAGGAGATCAGGTCATTAACACCTTCCACGAGATGAAAAAGGTCAGTTTTATAAAATATATTTATTACAATTGTAATAAATAATACTAAATGTGAACCACATGTTATAATAGTTGAAGGCTCTTTTTGGGTTTTAGCTTATCATTATTGGGAATTAATTGGTTTCGTTATTTTTTTTTCTTGTCCTTTACTTATTTTATCGGAGCTTTCTATAATAGAGAGAGCACGTTTTTTAACATTAAATCCGAGCAAAATCATATTATACATACATAATTGACAGTTTTTTATATAGATCTTCTCATGTCTCGTCTTAAAATTCTCCTACTAATTTTATTATCATAAAGGGGTTCCTCTGAAATTTTTGTTTGTTCACAAGGTTTGCTAAATATACGGGCCTGACCATAAACTTTTTTGTTTTGATCAGATTTCTTTTGATGTCGGCATTCTTTCCATCTTTGGTGAGTTAAACGACAATTATAGAGAACAGCTCAAGGAGAATTATTGCATAGTAAATAAAGGTTATAACTCTTTGCCAACCAGCATACCAGGAACTGCATATCAAAAAGCACTCTTGGTAAGTAAATTAGAAAATTACTATTAAATAGCTTTGTTAAGATCTGAATGCTAAATTTTTGCTCTCTTTTCTTTATGCTTTTTTTTCCCCCCCTTCAAGGCCAGGGAAAGGCTTAACGAGGTTCTGAGTGAGAAAATCTACGAGAGAGAGGAGAAGAAGACAGTGGAAAAGGATCTGTTGGGACATCTTTTGAATTTCAAGGACGAAAAAGGAGAAACCTTGAGCAAGGATCAGATTTCGGATAACATCATCGGAGTTCTGTTTGCTGCTCAGGACACAACTGCCAGTGTCTTGACTTGGATACTTAAGTACCTCCATGATGACCAAAAACTTCTTGAAGCTGTAAAGGTAAATTATACTTTAAATTATATTATAAGAACATGATTTATTAATCATTACTATAAATTGTACTTTTAACGACCATTTTGAGTCAGTTACAAATGCCAAAAAAGAGACTTTTAATGACGGTTTTCAGGGGAAAAAAAAAAGAAAGTGTTATGTATGATGTGTCTTTCGCTTGCAGGCAGAGCAAAAGGCGATATTTGAAGCGAATGATGGAGGGAGAAAGCCCTTAACATGGGCACAGACCAGAAACATGCCACTAACATATAGGGTATAGTTCAAATCACACTTCCATAGTTTTATAAGTTTGGAAATAGAAATTAAAGAAGATGTAACAGAAAGAACTAATTATTTTCAGGTGGGTATGTTTGAATTTTTCAGGTTATATTAGAAAGCTTGAGGATGGCTAGTATTATATCTTTCACCTTCAGGGAAGCAGTGACTGATGTAGAATACAATGGTAAGGATTAAATCTAAGAGTTAATTTCTAATTTTTGTCATCAAGCCTTTAACTCGAAGAAAAAGTTTAAAATTTTTGTCCAAAAATTTTGCAGGATACCTCATCCCAAAGGGTTGGAAGGTCATGCCCTTGTTTAGAAACATTCATCACAATCCCGAGTTCTTTTCTGATCCTCAGAAGTTCGATCCATCTAGATTTGAGGTAGGTAATAGAGCATATAAAGGGACTGTTTCTTACATAGAGCTTTCTATGGTGGCGGTTCATGTTTCTAAACGGTAGATTTAGTTAAATCGTATCAAAACTGTAAAGCATATAAAATTGACAGAATCAAATACAAATTTGGTATTATCCCCGCCGTAAAAATTTCATTCTTTTATTTAAAGACAGAGGCGTTATTAGAACCAAGACTAACTAATTTTCTCTGCTTATGTTATGTTCTTTGTGATTATGGTGCAGGGTCATCCAAAGGCCAATACTTTCATGCCATTTGGCAATGGGGTACACTCTTGTCCTGGAAACGAGCTTGCCAAGCAGGAGATGCTCATTTTAATCCACCACTTAGTCAATAGATTCAGGTACGATATCAGCAAAAAAAAAAAAAAAAAAGCTTATCCATTTTCTTAAAACGACATGAAGTTCATAATAATCTCCTCTTCAATATACATGGTTTTTTTTTTTGGCATAGTAAAGAATATAACCTTAGTGGAGATTGTCGAGGCTATTAATTTATTATCATTATTATTATTATTATTTTGGCAGGTGGAAAGTGATGGGATCTAATAGTGGGATTCAGTATGGCCCATTTCCAGTTCCTCAAAATGGACTCCCAGCCAGATTCTGGAAAGATCCAGCAATATGAACCTTGATTTTTACTCACCTGACTAAAATATGGCTTACCCTTTCCCAACTTCTGTTTTCTCTTTTCTTTATCTCCCTAACCCAATCCTACAGCCCTCTGTTTTTACAAATGGGGGTTTCTCTCTGTCTCTCTAGAGTTATATTGCTATTATTATTAGCTTGTTGATGTACTATCTGCATGCATTTGTAGCTCATGTTACATTACATTAAATAATTAATAATAATAGACTAATGAGTGTAATAACTATCCACAATAATAGATGTTTGTCCAACACATCATCTTCATCAGGTGACGCCACGTGGTTTGTTGAGAGCCATGTGGTATTTCTACAGGGTACCCTCTCATGAAGGATACTCAAATTAGCTTAATGCACTTAAAAGTGACAAAGTTCAGATTATTAATAATAATAATAATAATTGTTCAGTATAGAGGGACCCGTTTGTTGGATACATCTTAATTGAACTCCAATTCTTGTATCTAAGTTTTTGAAGCCAATATGCTTTTGCCGGTGGTCACATACATGATTTTTTTTTTTCCCATCACTTGATGTGCCCTACAAATCTAACATGTATTAGACCTTTGTTCGGATACCCAAAAATGAAGGGCGTTTTGCTAATGAATATACCTACCAAAGAGTATCAAAAGCCAACCCTATTTTGTCCTTGGTTCAGGGAAACCAATTTGGATATTTGCACACTCATAACAAAAGTAGAGCCGAAGAATGATATGTTAAGCCGGTAAAGATATCCATCAAAACTCATAACCAAAACAAGAAGTTTTAATCCCAAATAACTAATTGATGAAATTAAGGGGGAAAGCATAACAAACTTAATACCCAGAATGAATTGTCAACCAATTCCAGGAACTCGAAGGGAAAGCCCTTGCTTTAGTTATATAAAGTTGTATTACATAGTCTAGGCTACTAAGTCTAAAAGAAAGGGTTTCAGTAGAAAAAAAAAATAGTCTAAAAGAAAGGGAATTGCTCTATGAAAGTCCACTAATTCATATTCAAAGTTACACGTATCAAGTTTATGAATAAATAAATCTCAACATAATATATCACTGATGTTTCCTTTCTAAAAGAAAGGGAATTGCTCTATGAAAGTCCACTAATTCATATTCAAAGTTACACTTATCAAATTTCTGAATAAATAAGTCTCGGCATAATATATCATTAATGTTTCCTTACAATATAAAAATCATAGTTTGTACGGCAAATGACAACTAAATCAAACGACATGCGGTAAGGTGGTGTGAAGTTTGAATTTAGTTATCTAAGTTGAAAATGACCCGGATTTTCCACCAATATATTTGCATAATTTCTATTGAGAAAAGTGTATATGTGTGTTGTCCCACATGAAAAGTGGATGATAATGTGAAGTAGATTATATACATGAAAAGATTTAAGACCTAATAAGTTAACTTTTTAGGTCAAGTTAGATTCCTGAAGTGTGTTGGGCTAGTTTCGCATGTGGTGTCTTCCCAACAAGTAGTATTAGAGCCGATGTTTCATATGGGCCAAGCGATTACACTCGATTGCAGTTCCTATGTTGCCTCTCGTGGAGAGTTAGTGTTCCCGCAGTTAGTGCTATTGCAGGTGCGGATGGTGAAGTATTAGTGGACTTGTATGGTTTTAGCTCTCTTTTTCACATTGGAGTTGGCTCCCATTTAGAGTGTGATGCTTGGATGTGCCGGTTACTAGAAATTTGGTTGATCCAAAGGAGAGCTTAATTATTGATTCCTACGTTAAGTAACTGGACAGCTAGAAATAAGAAAAGGAAATGCAAATAAGAAAAAGACAAATTTCTCACTACCTCATTAAGATTTAACGTATGTCATGTAGGGTGGAAAAGGAAGAGAATGGAAATTAGAGGAGGAATTTAAAGAAGAAAAGAGAATCTTAAGGTGTTTGTAGAGACGACATTGAGAAAGAAGGAGGTTGTAAATCTTTGGGCCTACTATTTTTAATCTTTTGGACTTTAGAAAGAAAATAGAAGAAATTTGACAAAACAAATAGCATGTAAAATAACTGTTTTGACCTTAATTATTCTTCATATTTTTATAGATTAATTACAAAAATTTCCCTTAAATTATATTTTCTGTAACACTTTGTTCTTTGATTTTTAAAACGTAACATTTGTTCCTTTTTCACAATGAAATATTAACAAGAAAGCTCCATCTGTTAAGTTTTTAACTGAAATTGACATTTAATTTGCTATTTTACGAGTATTTTGATAATTTTATGGTTTAAAGTTTAATTTGAATCTAAACTAATTTAAATATTTAAAAAAATTCATAAATTTTTTTATTCTACCAAAAAAAAAAAAAACATAAAAATTTCAACTTACATTTAATCAATAATAGATGTATCATAATTAAAAGTAAAATTTTAAATTAATTTTAAATTCAAACTAAATTTTAAACCATAGATCTACTAAAATATCCCAAAATAACAAATTACATGTCAATTTTCCTTAAAAAAACCCTAATGGATTGGGCTTTTTTGTTAACATTTCACTGTTAAGGAGAAACGAATGTCACGTTTGAAAAATTAGAGAGCAAAGTGTTATAAGGGATATAATTCAGGAGAATTTTTGTAATTAATCCTATTTTTATTTGTGTAAGATATAATTATATAATAAACTAAACTGTATATTTTCTTCTCTCTTTCTTTCTCTTTACCGAACAACATAGAGGAAAATATCGTTCTACCTCTTTATTTCATTTACCTTGGTATTTTATATCTTTTTACTTTCTACTTTCACGACCTTCTACCAAACATAGCAAGGGTACCACCCCAAGGAAACTATAACATGAGGTGTTAGCTAGGCTGAGGCAAAAGCAAATCACCATAGCATTCATTTTCATTATGACATCAATGCCGGGCACACTATAATCATCAACACCAACAGAGAATACATAACCACAAATGTCACAAAATGTACCACAAGCTCACGTGACACTATCGATATCATGGCCCAATTTCTATAGCAGTATATCAGAATTGTCGCCCTCATATGCTAAATAACATCACCAAAATTGGAACCGACATTATCTGCACCGGCCATGCCATCTTCTTATTGCCATGATCATGTTCTAGCAACAATAACAAAAAAAAAAAAAAAAAGAGCAATGAAGTTAGAAGGTACTATAGCTAACACTAAAATGTTTGATGATGTTTGGACAACACGGTGGTTGAAAGTACTTTGAGTCTGCAAGATTAGTAGAAATAATCCTAGTAATGTCTAAAATTTGATGGTGATTGTTATATGATTAGTACTATAAGATGCGCCCAGCAACTTGATTAGTTATTTTGATGTAAAAAATCACGTATATTGTCTATTAAACACAAATATCGTCAGAAAACAATTATTTTGAAAAAGTGAACTTCATTTATTCACATATAAATCTCATTGATTTGATGGCTAAGAGGTTTTATGCAGAAATATACTAATTAAATCTAACTTCTGAGTTTAAGAAATTTCCCACTTTCAAAATCTCGGATCAGCCTCTCATTAATCATCCTCAAGTTAATAACCATATTGCTTATGATCATTTAGTTGTGGCATTTTAAATCACTTTGAAAGATCATGTTGTTTCAGTCTCTTAGGCTTCATTTGATTTGTATGAAGAAAAGGAAAAAAAAGAAAACAAAACTAGTGCTGTAAGAAAAACGTCATAAGAAAGCAAAAGATCTGAACTAGTCTTTTGGGTACCAACAATGCAAGAAAATCTCTCTTTTTTTTTCTCATATATAACACTTCACTTTTCTTTGAGAATTGCACTCTCATGTCAAACTTTTCTGTCGACAAAAACCCGTATAACCTAGATTAATTTGCTTTCTCATTCATCGACACTAAGGCCTTGTTTGGCAAGAGGGAAAATGGAAAGAGGAATAGGGGTGGGAGGATTGTGAGTAGATTATAAGATAGAATCAGTAGAGAGATAGAAATAAAACTAAAGGATTCGATAGAAGTAAAACTCAAGACGAACAAATCAAAAACTCAATGCTCATTAATCAATCATAAACTCTCTGAATTGAATTTACAATGCTAAGGAACTTATAGAGAAGTAAAACTAACAATAAGATAAACTTAACAATATCTAAATAATCGAAACGTAACTCTAAACTTGTCATGTAATCTCAAATCTTCTGCACCATTTCAGCCACAATTTTTCTATAAATTCTAGCTTATGTTGACAACACAAACAAATGAAGAAATCATATTCTCCATTTGCCCAGCTTTTACACCCAACTTATACTCATTAGTGTTGCAATTGTTCAAGTATAAATGAAAGATGAGTTGTTGTAGGTAACACAAGTTTTTCACGGGTCCCACATTAAAAAAAAAAAAAAAAAAAATCCTTAAGAAGTGAAGCAGCACTTCATAAGCCAATACACTATTGAGTGTGGTGATGAAGTGCACATAAGAGACTTTCTTGTGGCTTGCACACGAGAATGAAACTGTGGACGCGCTTTTGGCGTTTAAGAAAAGCGTATTGCGTACATATTTCGAGTTTTCATATCCGGATGAAGGCGCTTTTGGCGTCAAAACAAACAGAGGAACAAAAGAAGCTGATCCTAGCATCAGTAGCGTGTGAGTTATAATCAATAGCAGTTTTTTGGGAATTCTGATACACAGTTCAACCACAAAAAGGCATATTGATCAATTGGTCATCACTCATCAGTCATAAGTGCCCAGATTACAAGTTTTTTTTTTTTTTTTTAATGATGTTTAATGGAAGATTACAAGTTGGACAAGTAAAATAGTTCCATTCTACCCAAAAAATAGTTCCAAAACTCTACAACTACAAGCGGCTGACGTTTTAAACGTTAAGTATATCAAGTTTTTTTTTTTTTGGTTTTTTTTTTTTGTGTTATCAAGCATAGCTGCTTGAAGTCTAAGCCCACAGGCCACAGAAGATAGCTCCATCAAAATCATTACTTCGTCTTCATTCTCAAAATTATTAAAGAGGAGTTGGAAAAAATGAGGAATTTACTTTCGAGGGTGAGAGTGTATGGGTATGGACTTTTATTTTTCATTTTTAATTAATATTCTTTTATTAGTATAATTATTTAACAAAAAATATTATTAATAAAGAGTAAAGAATAAAAATCATGACTCATGCATTTTTAAAGAATATTTATTAAGATTACTTTTAGAGTTATGATGTTGAACCCAACATTTTTTTTTTGGAGTAACCCTTTTATATATTAGGAGTAATTTTTTATTTTTTTAAATAGTTAGAGTTTTTAGCTTA